GAGAGCGAGAGATCGGGAAAACGAGAGATCGGAGCGCGAGAGAGAGCGTGAGAGTGAGAGAGCGAGAGAGCGAGAGATCGGGAAAACGAGAGATCGGAGCGCGAGAGAGAGCGTGAGAGTGAGAGAGCGAGAGAGCGAGAGATCGGGAAAACGAGAGATCGGAGCGCGAGAGAGAGCGTGAGAGTGAGAGAGCGAGAGAGCGTGAGATCGGGAAAACGAGAGATCGGAGCGCGAGAGAGAGCGTGAGAGTGAGAGAGCGAGAGAGCGAGAGCGAGTGAGCAGGAGAGCGAGAGATCGGGAGAGCGAGAGATCGGAGCGCGAGAGAGAGCGGGAGAGCGAGAGAGCGAGAGAGTGAGAGAGCGAGAGCGGGAGCGGGAGAGTGAGACGTCGGGAGAGAGTGAGATGACGAGAGAGAGCGAGACGACGAGAGAGAGAGCGAGGGCGAGAGCGAAAGAGAGCGAGAGCGAGAAAGAGAAAAAGAGAACGAGAGCGAAAGAGAGAGATCGCGAAAGAGCGCGCAGAGTCGTCGTCTAATGAGAAAACTTGGTCGCTAGAAAACGAATTTGAACCGATCCGAATCGAAAGTAAAGCCCGAAGTTTCGGAGCATATTCACCGGAAGCGGCCGTAATGATGTCGTTCTTGACCATACACTCTCCGCGAAGTATCCGCCGTTCTCTTACCCGGGACAGGCCGGTAAACGAGAAAACTTGCTGCTCGATTAATTCGAGAATGATGACAACGATAAACTCGCTTCCTCCGTAATAACTTCCATTATTCTCTAAGCGGCTCGTAGTTGCTGCTGTATTTCGTTATCAGTCGTTCTGCCCCGCGTCGCATCTTATTTTCCCTCTTCCTGCAAGAGGTAATTGGAAACTCCTTCGACGCGATGTTTTCCGCAATTTTTAATGCGATGTTTTAGGCCGTTTGGAAAATTAGCTGGCTCGTGAACTTGGTAAACGTGCAGTGCAGGAGGAAGAAATGTGTTTAAATGCGGACTATTTCTGCAATAGCACTGATTTTTCCAACCATTCGTTTTCATCTTTTAAACGATCCACTGCTATTTATAATTATTATTGTTGTTGTTGTTGTTAATATAGTTCTTTTATTATTATCAGCAATTTTTCTTTTTTCGTATTTCTCTTGTCTTGCCATTTTATTTAGGCTTATTATCATTGTTATTTTTACTTTTGCATTTCTTTTATACTGTATTTTTCGCTCCTCTGTCGTTCATTTGTAAATGTTCTTAAACTTTTTGTTACAAAGGGGTTTTCTCCGTTCATGCATCACGATAAATATTTTTTTATTATTATTGTTACAAGATGGTACAAGTTTAATTAAAGAAGTTTTCTTCTGTCCTCAAGAGAAGTCGATCTTTTTCAGCTGTCGGTCGAAGAGTCTTACCGCATCTTTCAAGATTCAACGAGAAATCATATTTCGTTGAACTCGGTTTTCTAGATTGTTCAGAATATTTTCCGACGAGGACGTTCTATTTTCTCCATCCGTCTTCGCCTGTCTAAAAATATACTTCTGAATAATTCCGAACCGGGAAGAAGCGAAAGGTCTCTCTCCCCCTATCTCTGACACACGTCCGAAGCCATTAAAATTTAGCAATCACTTGCAGCACACTACAACGAGAAAACTCCGAATCGACGTACATACACTAATCAGTGATTCCCCTCGTTTCTGTTTACTAGAATCCAATTCGCAATCAGCCGAGTAGATGCGAACTAAAATCCCGATGAAACGCATGGCTCGTTCGACGCCGAACCCGCCCACGCGTTCGTGTAATAGAAAACGTGATCGAACTCCCCCGAAATTTGCGATTCATGAAAGGGGGTGCCTGATATATAACCCTATGGAAACATTCTTCCAAAGACGTTTAATGAAATTCGGAGAATTTAGGCGATATATATCGTGCCTAGTTCGAATCTAATTCGATGCCCGCGAAAACTAGGTTAAGTTTCATTCGATTCTAAAATACGAGATAATTTTGTTGTATGAACTTTATGTGAATGTTTAGATTAAAGTCTTTAAAGTCTTAAAGTCATTAAGTCATTATTATCATTATATCATTATATCATATTATCATATCATATTATTATATCGTATATATATTATATCATATATCATATTATATCATATTATTATATCATATATATATATTATATCATATATCATATTATATCATATTATTATATCATTATTATCATTATATATTATCATCATTAAAGTCATTCGTCAGTTTTCGGATTGGATCTGATGTACTTAGAACAACCTGTGAATTGCTATAATGAGTCAAACGTTCGTTTAGGATAACGCTTCGCGAGAAAATAAAAATAAGAGAAAGGATAGTGCAATATCGTTTCTTTAAAATTGTACATATATCTTACACAAGATTTTTAACATCTCTTTTGCCGAGATCTAAAAAAAGACTGACGAGCGTTTTCCTATAAAAATCGTGATACTTAATTCATTAAAAAATTTCTCACAATTCTCGTAATAGAGAGAGAGAGAGAGAGAGAGAGAGAGAGTGAATGCCCGATTAAATAAAAATACAGTCACCCGTAACAACGTCAACCGATCGTCAAAATCTACAGAATACATTTTTTAAATTATTTTAAATTTCTTCTGTCATTCCAAGTGTAATAGTAAAATTTCAAAAAAAGCATATTAGTCTCTCCATCATTCAAAAATATTCAATTCATTTACTGCATATTTAAAAAAAGTGATGCCGTTTCAAAGGGTGTCAACATACATTACTCCCCGATGGTACATTCAATGTTCAATGACAACAGTTCTTTACGATTTCGCTAACGATCATCGAATAAAAATTCCGGGACCGATTATTAGACCCGAAACGGCAGGTCTGTCGCTAAAATCCTGTCTCGGGCAGTTTTCGGTGCCGAGCACTCGACCGTGCGTGGTGCACGCATCGTCGGTAATAGCGCAGAGGGTGCACCCCGGTCAGGCCGCGAACTATTCGATTATTATCGATGCATTATTCGTCTCGCGGCGGAACGTCGGCGCAATATCATCCTTGGTGGCAGCGCGCCGGTAAAAAGTGGGAGAGGGGATCCCTGTTGATATAACCTTGACACGAGTCGCGCCAAAAATCAAGCGCGCCGCGGATCGTTAAAAGCGGGGCACGGGGGGGTGGCCGGTGGGCGGGCCTCGAAATGAAATTCAGCGGCGCGATCAAAGTTTTTTCTCGCGGGCAGGCGGGCAGGCGGGAGGGCGAGCAGGTGCGCGGCGCGGTGCGCAATCGATAGGCCGGCTCGTCAATTAATTAATCGGCTTTATTTAATTCCAGCCGAGCGGGCACGCAGCGGAGCCCCGATGTCCGGCGCGGGTTGTCGATATCGAATGCGGGGGGAGCGTGTGTGCCTGGGGGGGGGTTTAGGGGAGGTCAATATTAATCGGTTGTCGGCTCGCGATAGAAAATCGCCGAGGTCTGGGTTAGGTGCGGCTGCACGTATGGATGACCGCCTCGTAGAATTTCAAGAGTTCCGCGCGCATCGGTAACCTGACCCAAACCCGAGATCCATATAACCTGTGTTTGTGTCAAGGCGAAAGGGGCCAACACTCTCGACTGACCTACATCGGCCGATCACACTCCTGCCCCCAGGCTGCGACCCCGTTTGCGACCCGGCATCCCACCTGCACTCTTCGCCGAGCCTCCGCTCCGCGTTCCGCTGCGACCGGGATTTTCTTCCTGCATCTAGATGAAGATCAGAAAATCTGCCGCCCGCCTGTTGCTTGATCCCTCAATGCTCAGGCTTTGATCCGAGTAATTGTCGGAGGAACGAGCGCGTTTGTTAATCCTCCCTCAGTGTCGGAGCACAAACGGTTGACACCCATTGCGCACGCGTCACACCTCCGACACACGTAGCGACTCTCTTTTCTATTTTTTACTTCTTTTTTGGGGGGGTGGAGCTCCTTTCTCGTTCGTCACTCGACACAGGAACGATCTTTCGATGGTTCTGCGAGATCGGCTTATTAGGATTTAGGCTGATTTTTTGCGATTTCGACGGTGTTAGTTCGTCACGGTTCGCTTGGTGCTCGAAAATCGAACGAACTAGAATCGATGAATGTTGAACTTCGGGGGTGAGATCGAAGAGATATCGATCACCAGACTGCGGATCTTTATATGCAATTTTGACGCATTGACTTCATTAATTTCGGGAAATAGGAATTGTCTAAATCAAGCGATCACGAGTATACTTATCAAACACACTGTTAAAATATGGGATCAAAAAGATCCAATTATTAAAGACACAAGATTATTTTATAAAATTAAAATCTATTTTAAGATATGCCTTTGTGTTCATTAAAATTACAATATAAACAGCCAATGGCCACCACTTTGAACTGCTTAATAGTTCCCGAACGCTTCTTCATTGCATCGTAAACATTTCTGAGAACCTTTTTAATCGTTTTCATAACCTCATAACCGCGTTTAAATTTACAATAAATAGTTACT